TAAGGTGTTTTTTTTGGTCAGTGTATAAGGTGTTTTTTTTGGGGGGGGTTAGTGTATAATGTGTTTTTTTGGTCAATAAGGTGTTTTTTGTTTTTGGTCAGTGTATAAGGTGTTTTTTTTCTTTTTGGTCAGTGTATAAGGTGTTTTTTTTTGGTCAGTGTATAGGGTGTTTTGTTTCGTCAGTGTATAAGGTGTTTTATTTTTGGTCAGTGTATAAGGTGTTTTATTTTTGGTCAGTGTATAAGGTGTTTTATTTTTGGTCAGTGTATAAGGTGTTTTATTTTTGGTCAGTGTATAAGGTGTTTTATTTTTGGTCAGTGTATAAGGTGTTTTATTTTTGGTCAGTGTATAAGGTGTTTTATTTTTGGTCAGTGTATAAGGTGTTTTATTTTTGGTCAGTGTATAAGGTGTTTTATTTTTGGTCAGTGTATAAGGTGTTTTATTTTTGGTCAGTGTATAAGGTGTTTTATTTTTGGTCAGTGTATAAGGTGTTTTATTTTTGGTCAGTGTATAAGGTGTTTTATTTTTGGTCAGTGTATAAGGTGTTTTATTTTTGGTCAGTGTATAAGGTGTTTTTTTTGGTCAGTGTATATGGTGTTTTTTTGGGTCAGTGTATAGGGTGTTTTTTTGGTTAGTGTATAAGGTGTTTTTTTTTTGTCAGTGTATAAGGTGTTTTTTTTGGTCAGTGTATAAGGGGTTTTTTTGGTCAGTGTATAAGGGGTTTTTTTGGTCAGTGTATAAGGGGTTTTTTTGGTCAGTGTATAAGGGGTTTTTTTGGTCAGTGTATAAGGGGTTTTTTTGGTCAGTGTATAAGGGGTTTTTTTGGTCAGTGTATAAGGGGTTTTTTTGGTCAGTGTATAAGGGGTTTTTTTGGTCAGTGTATAAGGGGTTTTTTTGGTCAGTGTATAAGGGGTTTTTTTGGTCAGTGTATAAGGGGTTTTTTTGGTCAGTGTATAAGGGGTTTTTTTGGTCAGTGTATAAGGGGTTTTTTTGGTCAGTGTATAAGGGGTTTTTTTGGTCAGTGTATAAGGTGTTTTTTTGGGTCAGTGTATAGGGTTTTTTTTTGGTCAGTGTATAAGGTGTTTTTTTTGGGGGGGGTCAGTGTATAATGTGTTTTTTTGGTCAGTGTATAAGGTTTTTTTTTTGGTCAGTGTATAAGGTGTTTTTTTTGGTCAGTGTATAAGGTGTTTTTTTTGGTCCGTGTATAAGGTGTTTTTTTGGTCAGTGTATAAGGTGTTTTATTTTTGGTCAGTGTATAGGGTGTTTTTTTTCGTCAGTGTATAAGGTGTTTTATTTTTGGTCAGTGTATAGGGTGTTTTTTTGGTCAGTGTTTAAGGTGGTTTTTTGGTCAGTGTATAAGGTGTTTTATTTTTGGTCAGTGTATAGGGTGTTTTGCATTAGTTTATTGGGTGTATAAATTCAGTCATTGATAGTGTGTGCTAGAGTCTTTTTCACTAGCCAGTACATTTCCGTTTACCCCGTTGTTCTTCGACTGTCAGTGTATAAGGTGTTTGAAAGTGTGGCCAAGAAGTATGACGTGATGAATGACGCCATGAGTTTGGGAATACACAGACTGTGGAAAGACACGCTGCTGCACATCATGAATCCTCAGCCGGGACTAAGGCTGCTGGACACGGCCGGTGGCACCGGTAAATCACAACTATGACTTGCTATATACACACACACACACACAGTGGTGGCCAAAATTGTTAGAACACTTGGCACATTTAAGAGGTTTCAGTTGTTTTTGTTGAATTGGCCATTACAATACCCATAAAACAAACTATTGCTGGAACTACCTGCGACAGAAGGAATCTGCTGAAACATTAAAATGATGGACTGGCCCCTCAAAGTATATATATATATATATATATATATATATATATATATATCGAGTATAAAATAATCTGGACAGATCTATTGTACATTCAAAGGAAAGCCTTTGGCTTGAGCTGCAGAAGGCATGGGATAACATTAGTGTTGAAGTTCTCAGGAAATATACTGACACTATGCCAGAGAGATGTGCTGCTGTCACTGCTGCAAAAGGTGGACATGCCAAATATTAAAGTTAAAAGTGGATAAAAACAGTACGACTCACTTCATCTGATATTGATATTGTGCTCAGAGCAACCACCTGCATGTTTCATGAACATTATGAAATGAAATCATGTTTCTGTCAGGTGTTCTAACAATTTTGGCCACCTCTGTATGTATAATATTTATATATCACTTTATACAGTACAAATACAAAGATTGTTTCAAAGCAGCTCAAATTTGCTCACCATCAAAGATGTAGATGAATTTGTTAATTAATTGGAAAAGATTTGAGAAAATTCAGCATTACATCAGCAACGGATGCTCTGCAGTGAATGGGTGCCGTCAGAATGAGAGTCCAAACAGCTGATAAAAACATCACAATAATCCACACCACTTCAGCCCATCAGTTAACATGTTGTAAAAAGCTGTGTTTTTGTAAGAAACAAATCAATTATTAGGGAGTTTTAACGTTAAACCATTGCTTCTGGACAAAATACCAGTCCATAATCCATTATAATGCTTCCTTCAGTGAAATAGTTCATAGAGGAATAGTTAACGTTAAATAATGAACATTAATGAATAAATAATGTTAATAATGAACATTAAAATCCACCAACATATGTGACCCTGGACCACAAAACCAGTCTTGTCAATTTTTCGAAATTGAGATTTATGCATCATCTGAAAGCTGAATAAATAAGCTTTCCATTACTGTTTTCACTTGTAAACAGCGCTTGATCCGTGCATATATTGCTCTTGATTCAAACAAGATGACTGTTTCACTGGAGAAAGCAATATTGTGCATAGAGGGAAACAATGGTTTGTAGTTAAAAACCTCTTAATTATGAATTTGTTTCTTACAAACACGCAGCTTTTCACTTCTCCAGATGTTAACTGATGGACAGGAGTGGTGTGGATTATTGTGATGTTTTTAACAGCTGTTTGGACTCTCATTCTGACGGCACCCATTCACTGCAAAGCATCCATTGCTGAGACACTGATGCAATGCTACATTTCTACAAATCTGTTTTGATGAAGAAACAGTGGCATTTTGTCCAAGATGTCAATGAGTTTATTCATTTTAGTTTAGTTAATATTTAGTGCTGTCAAATGATTAATCACGATTAGTTTTTGTTTACATAATATATGTTTACTATGTATATTTATTATGTATATATAAATACACACATATGCATGTAAGACAAATGTTAATTTTATATATATATATAATATAAATTATATGAATATACATGTAAATGCATGTAAATATTTTAAAAATATATGCCGTATGTGTGTGTCTTTATATGTACATAATAAATATACACAGTACACACACGTATATTATGTAAACAAAAACTTTTATTTTTGATGCGATTAATCGTGATTATTCGTTTGACAGCGCTATTAATATTACTGAATACTAATAGTCTTTTAAAGTGAACATGCACCATAGATCAGGGTGAGTCTGTGGAAAAGTTGAGGATGATCCTCTTTGGCTTCCGTTTGATCTAAGAGTTTGAAAACCCTTCCCTAAATTGAGCTCTGTGTTATTCTGCTCTAGGTGACATCTCTTTCCGCTTCCTGGAGTACACTCGCTCGATGTATGATCGTCAGCAGCGGATGAGAGCAAAATCCCATCAGGCGCCATCGTGGCAGGACATCGCCGATCGGTATGCGTCAGACGAAGCAGGGCCTCCACAGTCGCACGCAGTGGTGTGTGACATCAACAAAGACATGCTCAAAGTTGGTAAACAGAGGGCAGAGAAAGCAGGAATCACGACAGGTGCAGTCATCTTTAACCAAACACTTCGTATCACTTGTGTTTTGGAGGGAACATCGAATGTTGATTGTGTTGTCACATGTTTGCAGGCCTTTCGTGGGTCGTGGGCGATGCAGAAGAGCTCCCGTTCAATGACGATCAGTTCGATATATACACTATTGCGTTCGGCATCAGAAATGTCACCCACATAGAGCAAGTAAAGACTCTGCACTCCGCATCCGTTTGCTTGAACACGGGTTCAAACTAGACTAAACACATCACTGTACTGAAAGCCATTTCTTTCCTAGCCCAAACTCGAAATAGTGCCCAATGCCATATTGCTATTTCTCTATATCTAATCTAATATGCTACCATATTTCATGTTGTGGTATTCATTCATTAACATATTGGAAGAGTGATGTGTTTGAAGTCTTTGATCATCATGTCACTGTAAGCTGGTTATTATTATTATTATTTAGTTTGAGATGATGACTCTTTTGGCAGGCTCTACAGGAGGCTTTGCGTGTCCTTAAGCCAGGTGGACGCTTCATGTGTCTAGAATTCAGCAAAGTGACCAACCCTCTTCTCGCAAGGTCATTGAACCAGTGTTAGATAGTATTATAGTTTTTATTTTCATATTTTCAGTTTTCATTGTAGTTAATTTTGTTGTTTTTGTCATTTTTTATTATTTACCTTTTTTATTTTAGTGTTGTTTTTGTACATTAAATTAAATGAAAATGTTTTTTTAAATATTTTATTTCAGTTAACATTTAGTACAAGTAACAAAAATGTTTAATGGTTTTAGTTAATTATGATAACCCTACACTGAACATTTTTACAGTCACTTAACACTGACTTGTTCACTGCATGTAGGTGATTGTAAGGCACCATTATTTTGTAAATACACTTTTTATTTGATTTATTTATTGCAGAATTTTGACATTTATTTTTGCATATTTTCTATAATAACTATATATATATATATACATATATATATATATATATATATATATATATATAAATACAAATATAATAAATAATATTTTTTTATCTTTTACTTATTTTAGAGCGGGGATATACAGTGTATAGTATGTAAATTGTTCATGTTTGTTTTTTTTGTTTTTTTTGGCCAGGCTGTATGATGCATATAGTTTTCAGATGATCCCTGTGTTGGGTGAAGTGATTGCTGGAGACTGGAAGTCATATCAGTATTTGGTGGAGAGCATCCGAAAGTTCCCAGACCAGGTAACAAAATACACTTCATGTTACAGCAGTTTTGTAGGCGTGACAGACATGACACAATAATGTTCTCGGACATCTCATGCAAGTGCAGTCATTTCCTTGCTAAAACCCAAAATCTTCATTTCGTCTAAAATAAAACTGTGTTAGGTCTTTAAATTTAAGAACCTATAAGACTGTTTCACCAACTACAGGTCTTACTTTTAAGTTTTTCTTTGTGAAAGTCACACTTGAACTTTGTCCATGCCTGCTTTATTTTTACCGATTTTGAAACCTTTTTTAACTATGGTAATCTAAGCAAAGAGTAAAATAAACCATTTGTGACCCTGGAGCACAAAACCAGTCATAAGGGTAATTTTTTTTTAAAATTGAGATTTATACATCATCTGAAAGCTGAATAAATAAGCTTGCATTGATGTATGATTTGTTGAGCCAGGTCTCATGAAAATGCGTATAAATAGTACGCCAAATAAAAACGAAAACTTGTGGTATTGATACGCAAAAATTGACTTTGGCGTTCATATGATACGCATGTGTTTGGCGTGCATATAATACGCAGTTTTCGCGTGCATATGATACGAAATTTGTTGGCGTGCATATGATACGCAGTTTTCGCGTACATATGATACGCATCTACCCCACAACCCTAAACCTACCCATCGCATAGCATATACACGCCAAAGTCCATTTTTGCGTATCAATACCACGAGTTTTCGTTTTTATTTGGCGTACTATTTATACGCATTTTCATGAGACCGGGCTCAACTGAAATGCATGAAATACTGTCCGCATTAACACTTTTGCAGTACTTTTGACAATTTACCCCACATAAACAACATTTAAATGAAATGAAAAGCATTATTTAATCATTATCTCGATTATTTATGAATAATAATAAAAGATAAATTACAAAATTATTTTCAGCATTATTTTTTGACAGAAAATTCTGTGGTTTTACATGATAGATCTAGATGAGTCTTTAATAATAAGAGGTCTGGTTGTCTGAAAGCTCTCTCTTATAATTCATGTTAAATGACACATTTTTTATGGCACCTGTGATGTTGCACATCTTCAAAACAGAGTACATGTTGAATAATAATAAATACTGGGGATATTTTACATTTTGCTAATGTCTGTTGAGACTGGTTTTGTGCTCCAGGGTCACATTTGAGTATTTGTGTGAAAAAGAATTTTGAGATTGTGAGAAAGCTTAATCAAACTATGTGCCTTCCTCAGGAAACATTCAAGGAAATGATTGAGGATGCTGGCTTCTTCTGTGTCCAGTATTTTAACCTGTCCGGAGGAATCGTTGCCGTTCATTCAGGATTCAAGCTCTGAGTGTCAGCATGCAGCGAGTGTTGCCTTCTCTCCAAATCAACTCTGACAAGAAAGAGTGTTGTTCAACAAACAATGAGTGGAGGACATTAAAATGAACACCGTTCGACCAGACACTGGGGTCTCAGCATGAAAAGTCCTTTGTTCGTGTGTTTTTGTTGGTAATGGAAACACTTTCACTCTCTGGCAGACATTAAAATGTTCTTTAAAGTGTTGTGGGTTTAATTGAGCTGTTGAAAATGGCTTAATTTTTAAAGGCTTTTAAAATGAAATGTGAGCACTATTATTATTTGTACAAGCTGGACAATGTGTTTGGTTTTTGGTCTGTGGGAAGCACATGCTGACCTAGTAAAAGATTAAATATATTTTGTTCTTTGATCCCATTACAAAATGTAAGTTTAGTAATGAATGCTCATTCAGAAAGTTCTTGCTGTAGTCTGAATCTGTATCAAGTGGATCCACACACACTTTTGGAATTGGGTCATAACATGAAAAACATCCCTGTGATGTGTTGTGTTTGGCGAAAATGAAACCGTCAAATGTGTGTTTTTACTTTAATAAAACCATATATTTTTTAAGATCTTTGTACACTTTGTTACAAAACTACAAAAAAATTTAAATCAGTTTTTGGTCAGAGAGTATTTAATCGTCTTGTGTGCAATTACCATGTATTTACAAAGTCTCTTATTAGTTATCTAAAAAACAACAACAACAACCTCACAGACACTCTGAACATAAGACATGGCTTAAAGATAAATATATTAGTCAATAAATATTCAGAGAACATATTTCCATTTATGAAATGTGATGCTATACAGATACAGAAATATACACAGATCAAGCGCTAACCTTTAACATTTGTAAAATGATAATGGAGAAAATAATTAAATCTTTAAAAAAATTAAAAAATATTTTTGTACACATTTTCTTTTATACAATCTTAAGTGCTACAAACAATACGAAATATTAAATAGTGACTCAAGTACCCAGAAAAAAAAAAAATGCTATATTTGCAATACATATCTCTATGCAAGGCAAGAGTAGATTCTTATTACGGCACTGTTTTAGTCTACGTATAAATAAAGTTATTTTAAAATGACCGCCTGTGTAAGCTGTATGGGTACATTTCATAGAAACAGTATAAAATACTCTGTAAAAACAGAAAGGCATGATGATACGATGATGCATGTGTAAAAGCATGAGTGCAATGTGTAGTTATTAAAGGTAATTATGCGGGTTTTTGATATATATATACGTATAAATATACCACTGCATTCCAATCTCTTTAAACCATTATACTTTGGCGTCTTTCTGACAAACTGTTAGCTTTAATTTAAAAAATACAATTATTAGGGGTCAAATACTAGACATCCTACACCTCTAACCCTAGAGTAGTCAGGTTCTAATTCTACCAGTGGTGTTTTAACTGTACCCTGGAGACAAACTAAACTTTGGTGTGATATGTAGCTCAGTAGTCTCCACTGATAAAGTATATATATAAAAGCTTTTGTATTGGTCTGTTTCTGTACTAACAAGATAAAGGCCCTGAGAAGTGACGAGAAAGAGGGATATTCCTAGTTATGTTTTCAGAGAAGTTACCTCAGCACCTGTTGTGCACTCCCTCGAGATGCAGTCTCCCATTTTGGTTTTTATTTCTCTAAATGAAATCCTTTAGTTGACTGAGATGTACGTACATGCTGTATGACTTCGTACTGCTCACATGCATGCAATTCTGAATGAAATATGTGTAAAAGGATCATTCAAATCATCGTAGCTAATAACATGGAACTCAGGCATCATCTAAATTGTCATAAAAACGTGAAAGTTAGTCATACACATTTACAGACATTTTCCCTGGTCCTAATCCAGTCAAGAAAGAAGCATATTATCATGATGCTCCGTATGACTCACATTTCTGAGTTTGAGTTGCATGAGGAAAATATAGCTTTGTGCTTTCGCCTTCTATAAATATTGAGTTGATGTGACAGATTCTGAAGGCCACAGGAATGAACAAGATCAACGCTGAAAAAAAACAAAAACAAAATCTTAATTTGAAACTCAAACCCTTTCTGGTAAGTACACTTTTAACAACAAATTTTCAAGAGCTTGTGTTGTGTTAGGGCTTCCTATCAGAGCCCTGATCCGTCAAACGATGCTTTGCCGCCCCCTTGTGTTTCAGACGTGCCGCTACACTGCGAGGGAAACAGTGCTCTTGCCTCTTCAACTTGACCTCTACATTGTCCTGAGGTGAAAAACAAGTCACAATGCTCCTCAGAAGTTCTCTCCTTCCTCTCTACAGGAAGTCTAGGAGGGAGCAAACTTGTTTGTGGTTCTGGACCCAAGCCTAATTCACAGTCTGTATCCTCAGGAATTATGGGTATCCGCTGCGCTAACTCACAGCAACCCTGTCCCATGCAGCCGTCACTGTCCGTCTGGGCGTACTGTACATTAACTGAACAATCTTCAGCGTAATGACTAGGGCTTCCTCTGTGTACAGTCATCTCTGTGTAGAAGCAGCATGGCAGTCCGTCGTAGCTAACGTGATCCGGAGACGGTAGCTGCTCGGTGCTAACGCTATAAAAGTTTGGTGGGGAAGACTCCGTGGCCCACCTGCAGTGTCCCCGGTCATCTGCTTCCTTACCTTTACACTCTAAGTTTAATTTGGGTACCTCGAAACAGCAGTTGCAAGCTACCCCTTGCTCTCCACAAGGCTTCACAAAGCTGTGGCTCCTTTCTGCCACAGCGCCCTCTAGGGGCCCAGCTGAGGTAGTGCTAGTAAGTTCCCTGGTTTCCACTGAAGAGTGGCTACTACAGTTGGGCTCCAGGCTGCAGTTGGACAACTGATCCCCAGAACCGTAACACGCTCCAATCGGAGGTTGTAGGCAGTCCTTCATACTTGATACCGGGGCCAAAGTATCATCAGTTTGAGGGGTGGCAGCAAACGACGTCCCAGCCTCCCCGGCCGAACCCCGACACGGACTCTTACTGCGGTACACATAGGGATCGTAATCGCTGCTTAGCGAACTCCGGAAGGTCGAGCAGCTCCCATATACTCCCTGGTTGCTGACTTCCGTACAATCCAACATGGAGTCGCTGGAGGAGCAGTGGCACTGGCCCGAGCTGCTGCTGCTGTCGCTTCCGGGACAGTCCGCAAGGTAACCGCTACACACAGAGCGATGCCCGTGATAACAACCAAGTCCCGAGGAGCTTCCGGAGTCGCCCAGTCTGGAAGAGGAAGCCGGTGCCATGTGCACCACAGTAGGATACAAAAGTCCTGGCTGGAAGGGTCGACTGTGACCTTTGTGGAGTCCGTTACCTTGCTGACCTTCAGGTTGCGGAAAGGTCAAGCCCTGAAAATAGTAGTGCTGGTACATGGTCTCGTATTGGGAATAGCAGGCGGCACGAGAAAAATTTCGTCCGTGGAATTTGGGGCGTTTGAAAGTATGGGTTTGCGGATAAGCATGGTGCTCCAGGCCGCAATGGTGCGGGTTTAGCGTGTGCTCCAAGTGGAGGGCAGGGTAACCCCGTATAAAGGAAGATTGTGGAGGATAGATGCCTTGCTCAGGGTGTTGGTCCACTGTTAGAACAGTGATGGGGTTTCCATGGGGGTCCATGCTGGTCCGAGTAGGGAAGGCCGTCACTTGCCCAGCTCTGTGCACCCTTCCTGGATAATGAACAGGGAGGACGACTCTCTGCTGGCGGCTGTGGACTGGGTTTCCCGGATCAAGACAAACAGAGCCTGGGTTTCCCTTTTTTTGTTCTGGGTGGAAAGTAAAAACACATAGGTCAGAAATGAACTGATTCCAGACCATACATTTGGACCGGCATCTTATGCTTACCAATAATATTGTGCCTGCAGTGTGGACAAGTGTGGTGCTGAAGTAGCCAAGGGTCCACACATTTCTTGTGGAATCGGTGAGCGCAAGGGATCACTCTCAACTCCTGTAGGTGTGAAAGGAAAGGATTGAGAGGTCAACTGATCTGTCTTAACATTTTTGTGGGCCTTACATAGGTTTTTGATAGATTTTGGACTATCGTCTCTATTGCGGTTATGCACTCAAGTTACATTGCTGTCACGAAAATTTATTGTTTGCACACATTTTTAAGCACTGTGGTTTAAAAACAAGTGATGTTAAGCCGTTTAAATGCAGACAACAGTGCTATATGCGCACTGTTTTTGAATGAATCCGCTGCTCATAAAGCGCACGGGTATTTTTGTTGCTTTATTGGCCTTGAATGGTAAAATACACATACTTATATGTATGAAAATGCCCGTCTTTGCAAGTACCCTCGTAAACACAGTCATTTAGGTCTTAAGTCAAAGTAAACAGCTGAGAAAGAAAACATGTGTAACAGTATATTGGATCCGGATGTTCTGTCTTAAAGGGGAAGCTGCTTATTATTCCTCCGGTCTGTCATTCATCTTAAATCTCTCACTGCTCTTAACTAAATCACGTTTGCAACTTTAATAATAAGAAATTTGATCAAAAACACTGAATAGTCTTCACTGTGTAAATTACATATTACACAGTGAAGACTGCAGTGTTTTTGATTAAATTAATTTATGTAGCATTTCGTATTTATTGCAGTTTTTTGTCCTATTTCTTGTAATTAGTTTCTTATTCTTATTTCATCACTGACTGTTTACTTATCTTCAGTGAGCTTGAGTTTTTCTCTCTCTCTATCTTTTTTTTATATATATCTTTTTTTTATTGACACTGGTGACAAGAATTATGAAAATTCTGTGGCATCAAACTTTTGATATAAAAACCTGCCCCAACACAGCCTGCAAGTTTTTAGTACCCTGGAAGACCGTTCAAGGTGCGTTTAATTCGGGTAGGAACTTTAGAGGAAGGTTTTCAATATTGCTAAAAACAACATCATTCAATGTAAACTGTAGATGGCACCGCACTCACACAGCATGCCAGTGCTAAAGATGCTAAAATCTGTCTTAAAACTAGTGCTAACAGGACTTGTAACCAGCTACTGCTTTATAAGACTAATAAGCCCAACACTTCAAACTAAGGCAAGGTATCTAAAAATCAAAAACTTGGAACAATTTCCGACCCCTTCCAAGAGATGATCCCCTGTGCTTTCAGTCAGAAAGCATCACAGATCTCACCCACAGAAGTCATTCTCTGTCCCCAAGCATGACTCATCCCCCTCCCTCTGCCTTTCCACCCTGCTTTTGTTACTTCTCTTCATCATCACAGACAAACTCTTTGATGCCATTGAGCCTTTTATATTGCCACTTCCTCTGTGATTCCCAGACGCCTTGGCTTCTTTGTTGTGTGCTTTTTTAGCATGGATCATAATCCCAAAGACGAATAAAAATACGGCACCAGCAGTACTCTTCATATACTTTGAGACAAAAGAAGTACAGGGAGGCTAAGAAATGGATGTTTAAGACAACACTGTCAAGAACCTCAGAGAAGTCCATTACAACCAAATCAACCAAAATAAACTAGAAGCATGACTAATTTTCCAGAGTTACGCAGTAGTGGCTTGGCATACTCCTTTAGTCTGTCGTTCGGTTTTGGAATAGATTAGAGAACTGACAAGGTGAGGAAATACTGAATGTTGGGCAAATGTGCAATATTTTTCTTTTCTAAAAGAAAAGCTACATGTTTTCGGAAGATCTTTACCTCGCCATCGATGTATTTCTCAAGGCATATGGCACAGTCTGATGTGGAACTACTGCTCACTGAGTCTGATGCTCCACAGCTGGCCTCACGCTGACCCTTGATCTTAGCCTTGAACTTGCGTGTTTCCATCTTCTCCAGGGCCTGAATGGCCATCCGGTTCATGGAGCTCTGACAGGTGGGGAAACAATTACGGATAGTGGAAGAGATAGTAGAAAAACAAGGCATGTCAGGCATGCAACAAACTTCTTTAAATTGAACATGGACACGAAACGAATGAATTAAATTGCATGAAGCAATGAGGTTAACATTTAGACCCCAAACTGAACCCGTATCAAACTGCATTGTGGAGCCTCACCTGGCTGCGTCTTTGCTTGAGCTTTATCTTGATGAGGAGGATGAGGCAGACCAGAGACACCACAACAAAGAAGGCCAGGAAGATTCCCATGTCAAAATACTCTGTGGGCTGCAATAGGACACAACGACAGGAAAACGTCAGCACATTTTACAGTTAAAGTGTATGCTGGAAACCTTGCATACAAAAAAAAATAAGATTACAAACTTTGTAAAAATGACATTGTAAAATACAACTTTCTTTGTGGGGCACTGAGATGTCACAACGGAACAGCCAAACACAACTGCTCTAGAGGGCGTACTTTAACATAGATAAATTTGAAGAAATTTAACTCTTTGGAGAGTTTTATATCATGCTCTGCACCAACTCTGTAACCGTCTGTAAGTAAAACACTGCTTAAAAAAATATCATTATATTATATTATATTATATTATATATTTTTAAAAAATCACAAAAACATTAGAACTCTGTAACTGTCTGTAAGCAAAACACTGCTAAAAATATTAATTAATTATTATATTATATTATATATTTAAAAAATGACAACAAAAAAAATAGAGTACTCCGTAACCGTCTGCAAGTAAAAAACTGCTTAAAAATATGATTATACTACATTGTATTATATTATATTTTATAAATGACAAAAAACTGAACTGAAACCATCTGTTAGTAAAACACTGCTAAAACTTTTTATTTATTATATTTTATATTTTATATTATATCATTATATTATATTATACATTAAAAATTACAAAAATTCTAGTACATCTGTAAGTAAAACACTGCTTAAAATATTAATTTATTATTATATTATATTATATTATTTTAAAAAATGACAAAAAACTGAACTGTAACCATCTGTAAGTAAAACTGCTAAAATGTTTTATTATATTTTATATTATATTATTATATTATATTATATTATATATTAAAAAATGACAAAAAAGACTAGTACATCTGTAAGAAAAACACTGCTTAAAAATATTAATTTATTATTATATTATATTATTTTAAAAAAAAGACAAAAAACAACTGTAACCATCTGTAAGTAAAATTTTTTAATTTATTATATATTATATTATAGATAGAAACTTTGTGACCCATCTCTACTAATGTTTTAATGCATGCAGTACAAGCATCAACTCTTACTCTTGGTGGTCGATGTTGGATTCTGGCTCGTGCAACTTTTTGCTTATTGACTATGTTCATCAGTTTAACCGCATCAGCTCCTTTGACATACACCACTGGCCTCTTTAAAGGGTCCTCTGAAACCTGGTTCAGCTAGAGAAAATAATGAGAGAAAAGACAGATCTTGAGAAAAATATTTCAAGCCATAATGCCAGACCACTTAACAATTAAATGATACAGTTACTTAAAAATGCTTGAAAGCAGCAGCAACAAAACCCATTACACTATGGCTTTACATCTAAAGATGCACTTGGAAACATACACGTAATTGTTTGAATGAATAACGTTTCCAATCTGCCACATCAACATGAACTCAGTTGCTGGGGAAAAGCTCTCCCGACGACATACACTCATGTGAAAAAGCAACACATAGAGTCCAGACATGGAAACTGTGGTTGGCCTTTTTTCTCTATAGAAGAGGAAAGCAGCAGTAAAGCAATTGCATGTTGTGAATATGGATGCTCGATTTAGCCTCGTAGCTCCCTCGGTCTACAGCTCCAGTCTGTAATTTGAAAAACCTGAGGGAAATACCAGGGATATTCAAGCCTCTATTTCTCCCTCTGTCGTCATGTCTCTCATGTGAAATATGGGAAGTTGAAAGACAGTCATTTAAGTGTTCTTCCCCCCTCTTATTTTTTTGGGTCCGTTGGATTTTCATTCAAGAAAAGATGCGCAGACTCAGGGAAAGCCTCACGTTGCAAAAAACTATTTTCTTTCTTAGTATTTTTGTTCTGTTTTCTAGTATAAATGTGACCCTGGAGCACAAAAGCAGTCTTAAGTCGCTGGGGTATATTTGCTAGAAAACGACAAAAATACTAAGAAAGAAAATAATTTTTTGCAGTGCACATTTCCAAAAAGGCATTCTCTATCTTTTCACATTGCATTTATTGCATGTTACAAATACAACAGAAGCAAAGCCTGTCGCCACGATGCTAGGGTGCTTCTGAGGTAGCTAGATATGCAGTTGCTAGGTTGTTGGTTATTGGCCCACCCTCGAGAATTTGTAATAAAAGGGACGCCACACATGTCTAAAGGGTCAGACAATCAAATGCTATGGGAGTCTATGGGATTTTTCACCCATTTATTCATTCACCAGGCAAACATTAGATCACTTTAACCCCTTCGGACCCTGCATCCATTGAAATGGACATCACATGATTTTTTGTTTAAACTAATAAAATGTTATGTTTTCATAATATGAGCAATGCCTGGTCACTGATTGGTCCCTGATCAACCAATCACAATGAAGATATGACTCCTAACTTAATCTGATTGAGCTACAGGAAAAACAAAAAAAACAAATTGCATGCATTTTTCATTAACCCGCACTATATGAGGTATCACAGATGTATTTGGTAATGTGCGTCTGCTTACTGGGGAAGAAAAGAAAGAGAGAAAATGAACAAGGACAGAACTAGGTGAGGATCTGGGGTAGGGAACTAGAGCAGGTGATGACGCATGCTTAAACTCTCCTCATCCTCCCCAAAGCCTCGAGGCTTTACACTGTAATCTGTGCGACCGAGGAACCGATGCGTCTGGACTGAGGTGCTGGCGCTGGAATGTACTGCGCTGACTGCTTTCATGTGGTCTACACAGGAGCTCTTTTATCTCGTCTGTACACCGTTTACAACTGAACGAGGGAGAGCGGGGAAAAAGCAAGTCTGGGCCTGGTTTGGAAGAGAAAAATACCACAGTGAAAGAGAGGGGAGTGGAAAAAAGACCCTTGGGTTCTCAAAAGCAGAGACAAAGAAAAGGACTTCCGCAGATCAGACAGCGGTGAGAATAGACCCACGGTAGTGATTCCATGAAGTAAAGGGAAATAAAATGGGAAACAAATTGTGTTTCTTCAAGAAAATACCAGTGCATCCTGACTCTCCTAAATAGTATGTGATCCTTAGGTTGAAAACAGTATGCCTAAGGTGCCCAGATTACATAACTTCCCAGAATTACATAACTTTTAGTGTGTGTGTGTGTGTGTGTGTGTGTGTGTGTATTTTCCCATTGTTAAAAGTCCGGAAATCGATATAGAATTTGCTTAGATTCTAGCATTTTCATGATGTTTTCCCACCAAAAACAAAAGTAAATGTTTTCATGTTTTTGAAAGAAGTCTCTTATGCTCACCGAAGCTGCATATATGTGACCCTGGAGCACAAAAGCAGTCTTAAGTCGCTGGGGTATATTTGTAGCAATAGCCAAAAATACATTGTATGGGTCAAAATTATAGATTTTTCTTTTATGCCAAAAATCATTAGGATATTAAGTAAAGATCATGTTCCATGAAGATATTTTGTAAATGTCCTACTGTAAATATATCAAAACTTAATTTTTGATTAGCAATATGCATTGCTAAGAACTTCATTTGGACAACTTTAAAGATGATTTTCTCAATATTTAGATTTTTTTTGCACCCTCAGATTCCAGATTCTCGGCCAAATATTGTCCTCCAATCCTAACAAACCACACATCAATGGAAAGCTTATTTATTCAGCTTTCAGATGATGCATAAATCTCAATTTTGAAAAATTGACACTTAAGACTGGTTTTGTGCTCCAGGGTCACATGTTTGATAAAAAATCATGTAAAAAATATATTTTATTCATGTGATGAATTTTCAGCATCATTACTCCAGTCTTCATCGTCACATGATCCTTCAGAAATCATTCTAATATGCTGCTCAAAAACATTTATTATTATCAGTTTTGAAAACAAATGCTGCTTAATGTTTTTCTGGAAACGTGACATTTTTCTTTTTTCCCCCCAGGATTCTTTGATGAATAGAACGTTCAAAAGAGCAGCATTTATTTGAAACTGAAATCTTTTTTATTAAACATGTCTTTACTTTCGATCAATTAAATGCATCCATGTTGAATAAAATATAGATTTAAAAAACAAAATAATAGTGTCATTTTGGTTTTTTTAGTATGCATGCAAAGAGATGTAACCACCAATTAAACACAATTCGCTTGCCATCAACAAACATGACTCTTAACTTCAAATGGGAGCATTATGCATAAAATTACGCATTATGTACATGATATCAAATGGACGTATTGCTGATAAAGGTCATGACATTCAACACATCTCTGAGGACACTCACTTGGTCGATGGCATCTGGATTTTCTGAGACGTCAAAGATAACAGCAGTGGCCCCTCTCTGAACAGCTCTCTTCGCCTGTGAGAACGACAACAAACAGAAAGAGGTTATTCTACTACACTTAAAGGTCTGAAATCTCATTTAAAACTGCTAATGTAGTGCTGAAAGTAAACTGTGAAAAAAGCAAAGAGCACTGAAACGCTACAAAGTAATTACCATTGTTACCATTTTGGTATTTATATACTGTACTAGTGCTACTATTTTACTAGTATAATATTTCTAGTATTATTTATGATTTAGATACTAGCATTTATTTCTTATTATTTTGAATTGGCTTTTATTTTTATCTTTTCAGTTTTAGTAATTTTGTAAGGTGCTTTTGTCATTTTTATTAGTTCTTTTATATTTCTATTTAGCTTTAATATATATATATATTTTTTTTTATTTATTTTATTTTTATTCTAATTTGAGTAATTTTAATACTTGAAAAAAAAAAATTCAACCAATACTCAGATTTTATTTCAGCTTTATTTCAATTAAAAATAGCTTTTAACAGTTTGTTTTAATTTTAATTAAAAAAAATACTGGCAATTACTGAATTTAGGGAAAGACAATAACTCCGACTACAAGAAACTGGGAGTCTGCAAACCCCAAATGCTTAAAATGCGGAAGTAACGATAAGCTTTCACAAAGTTTTTCATAATTTAAAAGATTTGCATTCATTTGAAAGCAACCCAATTTAAAGACACAGCAGACTTTTTCAGAAGTAAATATTTCAATGCCATGTTAAATGTTCTCCCGGATTCACTCCCAGCCGATAGAGGGCGCTCTTACACTTCAGCTAGATGCTTCACGAGTCAGTGTGCAGAACAAGTAAACACACTTTGTGATGGTTAAAGTGGCTTTCTGTACATAACAGAAACGTACAGTTCAAAGCTTTGATCAATGTGTTCAGTTGTGCTATTTTGATGTACCATATTGATGTTCATTGTTTTATCATTTTAATAGATGATCAACATCACATAGCCAGACTTGTATTTTGTTTACACACTGACGGCTGGGTTCGTTCCAGCTCCACTCATGCAAAAGAAATAAAGAACAGGCTGAAACAAAAAAAGTTAACTAAAGAGATCAAAGCGACAATGCGCAGCTCTATAACTCTGTTATCAGAGTAGCAAAGGGATGGCACCGCTCCAAGCCCAAGGCATTCTGGGTACTATGAGAGAAAGCATGGCCTCTCCACACACTGCCTGTGAGCGTGTGTGTGTGTGTGTGTGTGTGTGTGTGTGGTAGAGACAGTGCTAGTGACTGTTCAACAAACAATACATGTACCCGCAGACGCCATTACGCTGTTCATTTACGTCAAAGTGATTTATCTCAAGCTAAGTCTCGTGTAAAAGGCCTGCCTCAGAAAGTTAGTTTAGGTTGGGATTATATATACATATATATATAATGTGCGCCACACTATGAGGAGTCTGGTGATGTGGTAAACTGATCTTGCTAAATAGTAACTTAGAAGTCCAAATCAAATAAAACATTGGAACTTTGTTAAAAATGTTGACGCCAACATTCATTATCAAATCAGAAATGTTTTTTCAACACAAGACTCCCACAGGAAAGTCACAGTGAAACCGATTCCCATTCTGACTTCTGTTAAAGCTTGAGCGAGAAGAACTGTTCAACAAACAATACATGTACCCGCAGACGCCATTACGCTGTTCATTTACGTCAAAGTGATTTATCTCAAGCTAAGTCTCGTGTAAAAGGCCTAAATCAGAAAGTTAGTTTAGGTTGGGATTTAGTAGCTATAAAGCGAAAATGATCATCTGAGGTTATTTCTCAACCTTTGTTATCCACCACTTGCCAATAAATACACATTCATTCATTCATTCATTTATATATATGTGGCCCTGGAGCACAAAAGCAGTCTTAAGTCGCTGGGGTATATTTGTAGCAATAGCCAACAATACATTGTATGGGTCAAAATTCGGGACTGCAGTGGTGTAGCACAAAAGGGCTGGTGGGAGGTTATGCAGCAATATTACCAAACCAAACAGAAAAATGAACAGAACCCTTCTTTACCTTTCTTGCATCAACACAATGTTGGATAAAGCAAGCAATTTTTAAGAGAGGTAAAATAAAAAAAAATAAAATAAAAAAAAAATAAAAAAATAAAAAATGTAAATAAAATAAAATAAAATAAAATAAAATATATAAAATAAAATAAAAAATAAAAAAAATAAAAAAAATAAATTAAAATAAAATAAAATAAAATAAAATAAAATAAAATAAAATAAAATAAAATAAAATAAAATAAAATAAAATAAAATAAAATAAAATAAAATAAAATAAAATAAAATAAAATAAAATAAAATAAAATAAAATAGGGGCAGCAATATTACCAAACCAAACAGAAAAATGAACAGAACCCTTTCTTTACCTTTCTTGCATCTCAACAATGTTTGATAAAGTAAGCAATTTTTATGAGAGGTAATAATAAAATAAAATAAAATAAAAAATATAAAATAAAACAGGAAGAAAATGCATTATAAAAGATAAGCAACACAATATTCTTATTTTGTTACTGCATATTTTCACTATGCCCCAAGACATACTTTTAGAGTCTTTGATCAGATCAGATGTAATTTTCATTTAAAAGTGAACATGCTCGGTAAACACTGGAACAAGGAAGACATGAGAGAATCCAATGGATGAGGGAACACCTTGAGAGAAGAAAACGAAGTGGAAGTTAATGACTGTTTATGTCTTGTCAACATTTAAATTCATACTACCGTTTTAGCTGATTGACTGATCCACAGGAATGAGGAAACAGGCTTTACTCTCACGCTCTACCTTGTTTGCTTCACATCAATGTGCTTCAGCTGTGTTTCGGCTCTTTTGAAGATGGCAATTTCAGGCAATTATTAATAGCGCTGAATATAAGAGCTTTAGGAAGAAAATGAGGGCTTGAGAGAGGGGTGGCTGGCTGGAAGAATAAAAGAGAGCAAGAGAGTGAGAGTGCACATGTGGAACAAGGCAGAAGAAAGAGACCTGGAATCCACTTTGAGCAAGTGCTGTGATGTAGCAACTTGCCTAATGAGAGCAAAAAAAAAAAAGCTTCTTAAGACGGAACCAAAGACCACCAAGCAACCCCCACACACACCTTGTTCAGGTGTCACACACACAATCCCCTCCAGCAGTGCTGCGCAAGCTGCTTTGAAACTGTAGCTAGTCTTTTGAATAAGTAGTTCGCTACACTACAAGCTACTTACAAAACATAGCTACTTCTGAACCATAAAAAATAAATACTTTAAAATCTTACTTTATTTCAGTTGCTAAGGCATGTCTCATTTTCATTTAGTTGAACTTGATTTACTTAATACAACAATTTTACTTAATTTACTTGAATGCAGTTAAACTAAAACTAATATAAAAATACATACTGACAGTAACTAGTAAAAATGACAAAAATAAAACAAAATTACAAAAACTTTTAAAAATAATGTGACAATTTTTTTTTCAAAATATAAAAACTATAATATAATATAATATACAGTACAATATAATAGTATCTAATATAACAGTATCTATATTATATTATCTCAGTGACTGAAAAAACAATGTTAAGGGGGCTACTTAAAAATCTTTTGAAATATAAATCTATCTGGTAATATAATTTATGATCCGATAACCAGAGTGCATTAAAAAGTGTTTTGAATGAAAGGCGCAACATTCCCACCACATTCGACTTATGAATTTCCATAACTGTTCTGGTCATTAAAAATAATTTTATAGCAACTGAACTCATAAAGAGCAATTCTAGTCAATCTTTCTGAGCTGAGTATAACCAGAAAAAAAGATAAATCAATATAAAAATTTACATGAGCCTTCCAGGTCTCAAAAGAACATTTTTTTTAATTTCCAGATGCTGAAAGAAAAGAAAAAAAGATGTGCTACTCGTTCACACAGAGACATGCAGAACATGCAGGCTTCATACTTTAAATCTCTTTGCACTTTAATATTCACAGACAATAGTCCATCCATGTCGTGATTTGATTACGATAACAGGCCTACTTTTGATTTATTCCTGCAAAATTTGCTGTGACATTCCAAGTTATTCAATGAATTTCATTTTTATGTCTGTATTCCATGATTCCAGCCGCATTTTCTGCATAGCAGAAATCATAGAGCCCTAAGAAGGTCCTGTTACTGTACCTTTACTTCAGTAAAAATAAATGCACTACTGGATGCAACATACAGTTGAAGTTGCAACAAATGTACAACTGCTAGAAAGCACTACATCAACTTGTGCAAAAGTGACTTGTGATCAAAAGTCAATTTATCGACCCTTGAAGCAATCATCTCTCCAATCTTTTTGCAATTTTCCCTCTTGATTTGTCCTCAACCCTTTTTATATCTCAGCAATCCTACACACTCACTCACTCATGCTCTGCATCGCTATAATTAAAGTAATTAAGTGCTCAGAAAGCAAAGCTCTGTCATTACGCTGTAATTTCAGGTTGCCTTCTGGCCTTTGGGTTTCCTCAAAGATAAAGGCATACTTTCCTCATTTAGAGTTTACTTGCATGTGGTGAGATTTTTTTTTAATCACCCTTCATTTTCTCTCTAAGTGCCAAGACATTATTTAGGCAAGACTTAGATTCTTGCAGGGGAAAAAGGAAAAAGTACAAAAGTGTGCCTGCTTGGTTTCTCACAGTCTCTTCACTGCTGGGTTTGCCTGGGCTACACTTCACATGAAAACCCAAACAACACACTTAGCTCAAGTTTACACTGAGGTCCTTACTAGAACCACAACACTTAACGCTGAATAGACACAGGCTAGAGCTGCTCTTTTGCTTTATATTTCTGCTGTTGTCTTGCGTCAGAGCGCAGGTTTAAGTGGAAAAGAGAAACATAAGAATTTTACATCGAATCAATTTACCTAAAATGTAAGGTAAACCAAGTAAAAACACCCACAAATATGACTTCATTAACTGCCTGAGGTTGCTGGTGTAATATGGTGCAGTAGTGCTTTTTAAATCACTGCAAAAAGTACTGTGCTAATGTGGTACAGTGAT